TGCTGTGTTTTTTTGCTGCTGCGCTATCTGCTGCTGCTGCTGCTGCTGTTGCTACTGCTACTGCTTCTGTAGCGTCGTTTGCTGCTGCTGTATCTGCTGCTGCAGTATCTGCTGCTTCTGCTGCTGTTGCTGCTGCTGCTGCTGCTGCTGCTGCTGCTGCTGCTGCTGCTGCTTACGGGTATCTGCTGTCGCAGCTGTGGTTTCCTCCCGCCCATTCTCTGATCTCTTCTAGCGCCAAGACAGGCACATCTAGTGGTGCTGCTGCTGCTGCTGCTGCTGCTGCTGTGTCTGCTGCTGCTGCTGCTGTATCTGCTGCTGCTGCTGCTGCTGCTGCTGCTGCTGCTGATGGGTGCAGAGCAGCACGCAAGGCCTCATAAGCTGTTCTGATAGTTCTTCTAAGGGAGCTGGTGTATACAACAGCAGCAGGAAAGCAGCAGCAGCAACCTTGCTGCTGCTGCTGCTGCTGCTGCTGCAGCGCCAGCAGCAGCTGCTGCGGCATGCATGCGCCTGCTGCTCGCGCCTGCAGCACACCTGCTGCTGATAGATCCGCGTCAAAATGCTGCTGCTGTGAATACACCCAGTAGCAGCTACGACCAGCAGGCCTGCAGCAGCAGCAGCAGCAGCAGCAGCAACAGCAGCAGCAGCAGCAGCAACAGCAGCAGCAGCAGCAGCAACAGCAGCAGTGACAGCAGCAGCAACAGCAGCATGAGCAACAGCAGCAGACGCAGCAGCAGTAATAGCAGCAGCAGTAACAGCAGCAGCAGCAACAGCAGCAGCAGTAAAAGCAGCAGCAGCAGCAGCAACAGCAGCAGCAGCAGCAAAAGGAGGATTAACTGTAAAAAAAGCAAATATTGGGGTCTGTCTTCAATAGCAATACACAAACCTTGCTGCTGAGGGTTTAGGGTTTAGGGTTTAGGGTTTAGGGTTTACCTTTCTCGTGCCCCTACATTGTGCGTCCCCTCTGCAGCAGAAGAAAAAGCAGCAGCAGCAGCAGCAGCAGCAGCAGCAACAATAAACTATCGGTACACAATATTCCCGCTGCTGCTGCTGCTGCTGCTGTTGTTGCTGTTCCTGCTGCTGCTGCTGCTTCATTGCTGCAGCAGCAAGCTGCCCTCAAAGGGATGCAGCAGCAGCAGCAACAGCAGCAACAGCAGCAGCAGCGACAGCAGCAGCAGCATCTGCATCTGCAACAAACAGCTGTAGCAACAGGAGCAGCAAACAGCAGCAGCAGCAACAGCAACAGCAGCAGCAGCAGCAGCAGCAGCAGCAGCAGCAGCAGCAGCTTTCTTTACCTGCATGGCGCAAGAAGTATACATTTAGGATGATGTCTTCCTTCGATGCAGCAGCAGAAACATCAGTGCTGCTGCTGCTGCTGTTGGTTGCTGCTGCTGCTGCTGCTGCTGCAGCAACTGCTCCTGCTGTCGGTGTAGATGTTGCCGTCATTTGCACGTGAGGAATGTTGCTGCTGCTGCTGCTGCTGCTGTTGCTGCTGCTGCTGTTGCTGCTGCTGCTGCTGTTCCAGCTGAGAAAGTCTATGGCAGCTGCTGTTTGCTGCTGCTGCTGCTCTGGCTATGAGCTGCTGCTGCTTCTGCTGCTGCTGCTGCTGCTGCTGTTTCTATTTGCTGCTGCTGCTGCTTCTATCTGCTGCTGCTGCCTTCACAGGCGCTGCAACAAGTGTCTAGGGTTTGTTGATGTCTGCTGCTATAGGATTTGCTTCTGCTGCTGCAGCAGCAGCAGCAGCAGCAGCAGCAGCAGCAGCAAGAGCAGCAGCAGGAACTATACAGCTATGTCTATATAAAGTCTTTTATATTATAAAATATTTTTTTGTTTAATATTATATTTTTTGTTATATTGAGTTAGAGTTGCTGCTGCTGCTGCTGCTGCTGCTGCTGCTGCTGCTGCTGCTGCTGCTGCTGCTTCTGCTGCTGCTGCTGGGCTGCTGTCTCGTATAGAACGCCGTGTCTTTGAAATTTATTTAATTTTTTATTTTTTTTTAATTTTATATTTATTTATATTCAACACACAAACCCTAAACCCTAAACCCTAAACCCTAAACCCTAAACCCTAAACCCTAAACCCTAGATATCGAGTGAGGGTTTGTGTGCTCTTCTGCTAATACACTCTAACCCTAAACCCTAAACCCTAAACCCTAAACCCTAAACCCTAGAAACTCTGCTCTGCTGCTATAGTTTATAACGATACAACCTAAACCCTAAACCCTAAACCCTAAACCCTAGGATTTATATTTTAGGGTTTCTCACTCTCGCTTGTCTTTAAGGTGTTTCAGCAAAAGAAACACTAAACCCTAAACCCTAAACCCTAAACCCTAAAACCCTAAACCCTAAACCCTAAACCCTAAAACCCTAAACCCTAAACCCTAAACCCTAAACCCTAAAACCCTAAACCCTAAAACCCTAAACCCTAAACCCTAAACCCTAAACCCTAAACCCTCAGGATCCGCGTAGCATTTATCTTCCCTCTATCCTAAACCCTAAACCCTAAACCCTAGGCGTGTTGGGGGTAGAGAGAAGAAACACTAGGGTTTAGGGTTTAGGGTTTTAGGGTTTAGGGTTTTAGGGTTTAGGGTTTGCGATAAATGCTTTAAATAAATAAATACAAAAAGGAGGTTTAATAAAATAAAGAAAAAAGAGAAAACAAAATAAAATAAAAAGAAAAAAGAAAAATAAAATAAATAAAATAAATAAAAAAGAAAAAACAACATACAGAGACAAAGACAAAACAGAGACAAAGACAAAACCAACAACAGCAGCAGCAGCAGCAGCTGCAGCAGCAGCAGTTCC